GTAATATGTACATTTTAAATTGAAAAACATATTTAGTTATTTATGTCGTTTATATGGCAAGAGATGCAGAAAAACCCAGTAGTATTAACATATATTTAAACTCAAATTAACAGAACCTTCCTATTTGAGAACGCAGGGAGTAAATCCAAGCGACATAACCCTTTCATAGATATATAAAATTTTGCTAACAGAAGTGTAGATTGTACGATCATGATTACATCATAAGCACGAGTTTATGAATCACTACCAAAAAGTGACGATGGCAGGTGTTCACTAAAACGTGACACACATATGCAAATGTTGGTCAAATATACTGGACAAAATAAGTTAGGGATATTGGTATTTTCATGATTTATATTTTATCAGTGTGTGAATAAATTGATCATTATTCATAATTTCAAAATTTTCATATATCCCTAACTATTTTTGTCCAGTATAGAAGCGACAAAACATGGTAACTATTCATAAAATGTGAGAATGTTTCTTATTGTCGCTAATCTTTTCAAATTGAAATCGGAATCAATTTACACATTGTAACTATTGGCAACGAATGCCTTTTTGTTAATACATATCGTCAATGCAAAGGAATACCTAATCTTGACTACCGTTAGAAACCAATTCCGTTTGGTGTTATGGGCAAAACAATCTTGGAAATCATTTGAATGGATCGTTGAAAACATTTTAAGCGTAATTAACAAAACTTCAATATGTAAAACCGCATACTTCAAACGGGATTTATATTAACATACATTAATTGAATAATTCAACGCTTAGAATACTCAGTCTCGTTTATCTTCCGAAAGGGATTCAAACAGCAAAATTAATATGAACGGGAAAGTGAACATCATTATGGACTTAATATGATATAGGTCAGAGCATTTTAAGACGTATCAGCAGTTTCGATACAGTCCTCCACTGTGAACAACTGTTTAACATATAGGTTGTTCAAGCTGCCTCATTATCAACCATCTCTTTGCCGCACCACCAATATGACCATATCAGCAGCAGTTTCATTTATCACAGGAGTCCAGTACTGGCAGTGTAGTCTTTCATTGTGTTAACAAGTCTATTAATTTGCTATAGAAGGCAGTTTCCGAGCATTCTGCACCAGGATAACCTAGTCTGATTTAATGTAGCCAGTGCATGTCACGTAGCGGCATCTAATAAGGAGAACGATCAACTAGTTCTTATTGAAACAAAACCGACATCCATGTGTTGGGCAAAGATTAAACATGATCAGATCAGTGATAATGGATAAGAAAGAAACACTGTACAAGAACCAACTCGTTCTTATTGAAACAAAACCGTCCATCCACGTGGAGGGCAAAGATTAATATGACCAGATAAGTGGTAATGCATAAGAAATAAATACGGTTAAAAATCGATCAACTAGTTTTACTGAAACAAAAACCTCCATCCATGTGTAGGGCAAAGATTACACATGACCAGATAAGTGATAATGATTAAGAAAGAAATACGGTACACTAACGATCAACTAGTTTTACTGAAACAAAAACCACCATCCATGTGTAGGGCAAAGATTAATATGACCAGATACGTGATAATGATTAAGAAAGAAATACGGTACAGCAACGATCAACTAGTTCTTACTGAAACAAAAACCTCCATCCATGTGTAGGGCAAAGCTTAAACATGACCAGATCTGTGGTAATGCTTCAGAAAGAAATACGGTACATGTACATGGTAGAAATGAAATGTAAGAAAGTTGATGATAGCGCACAGAAACGAAAACGGTACATACGCCAAAGTAAATGCGTATGTCTAAATTTAAAATGACCTGATTAGTGATAAATACGTTTGAAAAAAAGACATATGCTGTGTCTTTATATTAAATGGCACAATAGAAGATACCAAAGATCGATTCCTGAGACTATCAAGAAAAAGGTAAACGTCATTTTATGTAAAGTACCAAAAGAGTTAAAAATAATCAGATTAGAGGCGGTGTCGACATGTTTTGATTTACTTTTTACAAGAGGACACCTAATATGTTAAATTATTCAAATATTCTATATTATTTTCAGTTAAGTTTATGAAATATAATGTATTATTATATATTTTTGTATTGAAGAAGGTGACGATCATTTCGCAAACTAATTGTTTTTCAAAATTAGTTTTAAAAATTCAAACATTAAAACATGCTGGAACTGCACATCGTGAAAAGTAATCAAATGAATTGATAGACTTACGTCCACAATGAAGAATGACTGAGGCATTGACGAAAAATGGATATTCTTGGGTTTGTGATCACAAAAGTAAATTCTGTGTTTGAATATTTGCCGATTCCAATTTATTTAGATTATGTTCCTCATCTTTGAACAAATACGAATACAAACCTTCTTAAGTATTGGGAAATACATTTCAGCGATTCAAAAGAGTGTGTTTCTGTTACCTCGTCCAGTGCACACTTCATTTTAAAAAACAGATAATTTTGTAAAAGATATTCTTCAAGACATTATAATTGCTTAAACGTAATTGAATTTTTCTTCAAGCAATGGATGTATGTTTATAAAGTGACGTCATGAGTCCTTTTCCTGTGACATTTTCAAAACCATCTCTATACTGATTTTAAGTATAAAGGGTTATTTTAAAAATGAGGTAATTATGTACGGTTTAAAAACGGTACGAAACTTGTGATTGAATCACATGACCTCTTCGCAATCTGTGACTGTATCTTAACAATAGTTTGTACTAGTAATCAGAAGTATAAGTATAAAGTTTCAAGCGTTGTCATATAATATTATGTAATATCGTTTTTCATATCTTCAAATAGCTATTTTCTTGAACATAATCAGTTTCCAGAAATTATATCTTTAAAATCGAAAGCAATTATATCATTTGATGGTGGGATTATATAAACCACACGTTACCTTAGGTCGTGGTTTTGAAAAGTTTATATATTGTACTTCATGTTTGAACGCATCCACATTTTCATAGAAAACAAAATTAATTCTGCATCTACATAGTTATGTACATTATGGATAAGAAGGATATATCTCCAACGTATTTTATAATCTTCCACAAGATCAAATATTCCGCTGTGTATTCAGTTTACATTCTGCATAAACCGTTACTGCATTCGGTTTATTTACGCTTGTATCCCTGTCAGAGGAAAGGAACTTAACAATTTGTATGTCACGTCATAATAAACAAACGAAACGAAAATATTCAAATTTCCCTGCAACAATAAATACATGTAGATATGCTCTGACAGACGGAATGTATCCTCCACACATATACAATCACAACATTTCGTGAAAAATTGAGCTGTATCATTTTATCAAAGTATGCTTCGAATAAGTATATGTATATGCTTGTTTAATAGTAATGTACTTGCATATAATTTTAATTCTTCCTAATAACGCGGTAATACGAGCCAGAGTGCACCAGTAATTATTGGTTTTCACCGAGTTTTAGTTTGAGAAAATGATGATGTGGTAAAGTGGCAAAAAGTGACCTATATTCCTTAGTTGGACGAACACAGGAAATAAGTACTTTGCTAATACACGCCGGCTTGTGTTAATCCAGTACAAAGTTTCAACCATGTTGAAATGAGGAGAAATAAACAGTTCTTCTCCAAGGCTTTGCTTCATCTGCCCACAGGCAAATGATAGACATCTCATTGTTTCGCTAACAATAGTTTTATATCCAGTAGATGATGGATTCAATATGCCGTCAGAGAGATGGCATTATAACATGTGTACATATGGCTGAGGCTTTCAGTCCAGTTCTCTTACTCTGTCTACACATGTGGCTCTGTCCTAGAAAAATACATTACCCATCCTTCAAAATTCCCTCACTGAAATATCATTATAATCATTGTAATCTATTTATATAGCGCCGAGTTCCAAATATGTGTGTATTCTATTAAAGAATCTATATCATATCATTTGTCTTAATTTGATATCATATTATTCACATCAACATGATGATCAATTAATCATATATAATTAGTTCCAATTATACGTATATAATTAGTTCCAATTTATTTCACTAAGTTTTTCAATTTTAAACCATCTATATCATATCATTTGTCGTATTTGAGATCATATTATTCACATCAACATGATGATCAATTAATCATATATAATTAGTTCCAATTATACGTATATAATTAGTTCCAATTTATTTCACTAAGTTTTTCAATTTTAAACCATCTATATCATATCATTTGTCTTATTTGAGATCATATTATTCACATCAACATGATGATCAATTATACGTATATAATTAGTTCCAATTATACGTATATAATTAGTTCCAATTTATTTCACTAAGTTTTTCAATTTTAAACCATCTATATCATATCATTTGTCTTATTTGAGATCATATTATTCACATCAACATGGTGATCAGTTATACGTATATAATTAGTTCGTATTTATTTCACTTATTTTTACAATGAATGTATCGCAAAAGAGTAGAAAAAACGAAGTGTTAAGATGAAGCAATTGCAGTTTATAATCTTAATAATGATATGAAGTAATTTAGATGTTCATGATATTACGTTTTGTTCATGAATATGACTAGGTTACACATAACAGTTACAAATGTTCGCGGAATTAAAAAAGATAAAGTTTTTGCTTGTCATATTTCACGGTCATAATTTTAATGATTGAATATAGGTTACTGAATTGTGTCTCGAGTCAGTTTTCTCTTTGATTACCACGAACCACTAAAGTTTTATTTTTTAATTATTTTAATTTGTTGATAGTTCGTGAAGTTGTTGTGCCGTCGTTTTGGAAATGTCAAGATAGTACAGACTGTGGCGTAATGAAATTGAAATTCGAAATTATGCGATGTTGGTTTGATTTGTGAACTTAGCTTTGATTAATCGTATGTTGGATTCAATTCATCGGGATAATTATTGGGTCATACTCATACAGTTATTTTGATCGCACTATTTCAGTTGATACTCTACGGTAAGCTGTTTTGGACTGGTGGCGGTACATCACCAAGGGAGAAGATAAACATTGTCTCACCTGCAGGAACGATAACTTTTTTGTCGTGCTGTTGCTGTTGCTGCTGCTGATGTTGGTGCTGTTGTTGTTGTTGATGTTGGTGCTGTTGATGATGATGTTGTTGCTGATGCTGATGATGATGCGTATTGGGGTCTGGAGACACCCGAGCCCGTGACAAGTTGTGGGGTTCTTCCAGCTTGTTAGCCCTGAATCCCGCATACAGGCTTGGAGAGGGGGTCTGATGTACCAGACCTGTGTTGTCATAGGGGGTAAGTCCTCCCCGTCCTGGGGCTGTGGCATCATTGGGTCTATAAGGTGTGGCGACCTCACGGGATGGTTGATTGAAGAGAAAACCGAGATCTGAGGTTCTGAATACTGGGGTGGAGGATCAAACGCAGACTTCATCGTCAAAGATGCTGAATCGGTAACGTCACAAACAGCAGAAGCATACGACGTCCATGTTTCTCTGTTGGACAAGTCCGGTTCTGTCTTAATAGGCGAGGACCTGTTGTCTAGAGGAGACACACCCATGTGTGCCTGGGTTTCAACCCCCTGATGCAGAGGCAGATGCTGTGGGGTCGGGACTGTCACAGGGGGGAGGACAAGATGGGAAGCGTGGGGGTCAGCTACGCCAAGGCTATCTTGGTACGGAGAGGGTCCAAGCCTGCTTGATTCCGCGCTGAAGTGGTCAGTGTCCCCCTGGACTGTGTCCTGCAATTGGGCAGCCCCTCCTCCGGCCAGTGGGACATCCTGAAAGACACAAACCTATAGTAATTCAACACAGGAAAAGAAAATACTCGGTAAAACCCCGCCTGTGTTGATTCCCAATACGAGGCGGGTGCTGGAACTTTGTCCACTTTCTGAACTTCGAGAATAATGGCTAGAAATATTGTAAACAAATGTGTGGGCAATGCGTCGACTCCGGAGCCAACATGTGCTGGAATCGGGAGACTTCGCACTGGTGTGGGGTTGTATCGTCTGTCGAGTTCCCTTTAGGAAGTGCTCGATAACAGCCTGCCGTGAGCCAGTGTAATTTCTCATTTCCTACGTATGAGAGTTCCATCGGGAAATAATGCAAGCGCCACTTCATATTACAACTGTCACAGCGCCAAAGCAACAGTTGGTCGTCTTGCTTTAAGCACCTTAACCTCAGACTTACCATTTTTGTTTTGAGCAGAGTTAAAGTGGTGTGAATGTGGCAAGCCTCGAGGGAGAGCGAACCGTCACTGTAGATGGGTAACAAATTAGCCGGTGGTGTGGGACATGAACGGCCCGCAAGAAGGTCGCAAGCGTGGAGCGAGCGGTCGCGATGGCGGAAGTAAGACTTATCACGACAATACAGGCAAAGGAAATGATCCTGAGTGACTGACAGGAAAACTGGACCAATCGCCACACACGGCCGTGCACCCATGGGGGAGGGGTAGGCCAAGCTAAGTCGGGACTAGGCGGGCGTAGAGCGGCACCCGGGGTGATTAAGGTGGTGACGAGTATGATGGACTTCACAGTGAGTGAGTGAGTGAGTGAGTGAGTGATATTGCTGGAATATTACTAAAAGCGTCGTAAACCTAAACTCACTCACCCACGGAAAGATAAACAATATCCTATCCAAAAGGAGAAAAATGAAGTACATGATAGTGAAATGGCTGTGTTTTTGTGTGAACCATTTATGATTGACTGTTAGAAACAGAAGGATCAGAATATAGTTACATACCTAGTGTTCTTGTAGTTAGTCCAAAAGACTGTGAGTGAGTGAGTGAATGGCCGACCAAACATTATTATCTGAAGTCTGTAATCTATTGGGTGACATTCTTTTCACATGTCCAAATGCAAAGTAATAACTGATTTTCCCACTCGCCATCTACTAATAGAAATGCCTTGCATTTATTGATACAGCGATACGCAAACAAAACTCTCTTAACACTTTGTTTCTTTGAAATCGCCGCATATTCCGAAACATTATTGTCCATATAGAAAGCATATATAGGGTGTTAAACATATGTAAGTGAAGATTATAGAACAAACAAACTATTTACAGAAACGTATATAGTGTCGTGTATCCGTTGGTATATGACCAGATGGTGGCCACATGATAACTTGAAAACACCTAGTTGCGGGTACAGCAACATTTAGTAAACTTGGACAAAGTACTGTGACTACGTGTCCCAGTCCACCCAGCTGTGAATGGGTACCTCGTAAGGATGGGAAAGCCACATTAACTCGGTGCGTCTATTTGCTGCAAGAGCTGTATGATCCCCAGGGAGTTGAGATTGATAATACAGTGTGCCGTTTGAGATTGACATCCAATGATCGAGGGAAAAACAAAACGCCTTTGAGCAGGTGATCTGGATATTGGCGCTATATAAATATATATAAATAAATAAAAATAAATACATTAATTACACTCTGGACGTAAAATACTGAGGACGGAAGGATCAACGAATGTTCCCCGTTACTATCATGGTATGATAGAATATCATGTGTATGTCAAATAGGAGATCAACGATACACGATATTATCCTGGTATGATATATTATGTGTATGTCAAATAGGAGATCAACGATACACGACATTATCCTGGTATGATATATTATGTGTATGTCACATGGGGGGTCAGTGTTACACGATATTATCCTGGTATGATATATTATGTGTATGTCAAATAGGGGGTCAGTGTTACACGATATTATCCTGGTATGATATATTATGTGTATGGCAAATAGGGGGTCAGTGTTACACGATGTTATCCTGGTATGATATACATGTAGTATGTGTATGTCAAATAGGGGGTCAGTGTTACACGATATTATCCTGGTATGATATATTATGTGTATGTCTTGGTGTGATATATTATGTGTATGTCAAATAGGGGATCAGTGTTACACGATATTATCTTGGTGTGATATATTATGTGTATGTCAAATAGCGGATCATTGTTACACGATACTATCCTGGTATGATACAATGTGTGTGACAAATAGCGGATCATTGTTACACGATACTATCCTGGTATGATACAATGTGTGACAAATAGCGGATCATTGTTACACGATACTACTGGTATCCAAATGGCGTATGATCATTGTTACACGATACTATCCTGGTATGTTGTGACAAATAGCGGATCATTGTTACACGATACTATCCTGGTATGATACAATGTGACAAATAGATCATTGTTACACGATACTATCAAATAGATACTATCCGTATGATCAATTGTTACACGATATGATACAATGTGTGACAAATCCTGGTATGATGATACAATGTGTGACAAATAGCGGATCATTGTTACATTGTTACACGATACTATCCTGGTATGATACAATGTGTGTGACAAATAGCGGATCATTGTTACACGATACTATCCTGGTATGATACAATGTGTGACGACGATACTATCCTGGTATGATACAATGTGTGTGACAAATAGCGGATCATTGTTACACGATACTATCCTGGTATGATACAATGTGTGACAAATAGCGGATCATTGTTACACGATACTATCCTGGTATGATACAATGTGTGACAAATAGCGGATCATTGTTACACGATACTATCCTGGTATGATACAATGTGTGACAAATAGCGGATCATTGTTACACGATACTATCCTGGTATGATACAATGTGTGACAAATAGCGGATCATTGTTACACGATACTATCCTGGTATGATACAATGTGTGTGACAAATAGCGGATCATTGTTACACGATACTATCCTGGTATGATACAATGTGTGACAAATAGCGGATCATTGTTACACTAATGATTATCCTGGTATGATACAATGGTATGATACAATGTGTGACAAATAGCGGATCATTGTTACACAATGTTATCCTGGTATGATACAATGTGTGTGACAAATAGGGGGTCAGTGTTACACTGGAAAAGAAGCAACACATCTTCCAAATGAATGCCTTTGGTAGAATCAGCCTTTCTTGTAAACATGGTTGTGTCGCCATCTTTGAAATGCTTGATATAGTCTCAATGCATTGACTGTCCACTGGTTAGAATGACTGCCAACCTCAATCGCATATCATCAATCACTCATTCCAGTCTTTGTTAGCCTGACACAAAGGGATATATACCCATCAAAAGTTTAGACTCACTTAAAACACTCACTATAATATGTGGTTACATCGAAGATGAATTTCACCACTAACTTAGGGGAACCAACTGCAAACCTTATGCAGATGAATTGCACCAGGATCGTGCATCAAATTGCTGAAATGCATGTGCAAGTATCCTGCATGTGAACAGCTGCGTTTTGGTGTAAAGTTTAGTTAAGAATTCACCAATTTTAAATGAGTTGTATTATTTATTGAACTCGTGACAATAAGCTTTTCAACGTTGCGAATTTGTTTTACAATACATCAGTTCATGTGTAAACAGTACCCTTAAACTGTATAGAATATTTTGCAAAATCTAGTTTAGATCAGTTGACTGAAGTAAGTGGCTACATGTACACTAGTGAGTCTAAACTTTTGATAGGTAGTATATATTTATAAAGTTATATTGACATGCTTTAACTGACTTGGGGAGGTGGGGTAGTCTAGAGGCTACATCCTCGTTCAAGAGGTCATGGTTGGGAACCCTAGGTGCGTCAAATGACGTCCGAAAATTGTGATCATGGGTTTGAACAGTTCTAGTGAGTGAGTGAGTGAGTTTAGTTTTACGACGCACTCAGCAATATCCCAGTTATATGGCGGCGGTCTGTAAATAATCGAGTCTGGACCAGACAATCCAGTGATCAACACCATGAGCATCGATCTGCGCAATTGGGAAACGATGACATGTGCCAACTAAGTCAGCGAAACTGACCACCCGATCCCGTCAGTCGCCTCTTACGACAAGCATAGTCGCCTTTTATGGCAAGCACATGGGTTGCTGAAGACCTATTCTACCCCGGATCTTCACTGGTCTTGAACAGTTCTAGGTTTGTCGGCTCCATACCATTGTACTTGGGCTTCACGATCGCAGGAAACCTCAGAGAACCATATCACTCAGGCTTAACTTCCACAATTTGATTCGCTACTGTAAGTGGCATGCTGTTAAAGCGGAATTACAATCCAACGGATTCATTCAGTAACAGACAAAATCTGACTAACTTTATTCGTTTGTTCGAAGAGAATTCAGAACATATTTATACATCTGTACCTGAAGCATGCTGGCCCTAATCGGTACGAGCACTGGATGATTTCATCGGAACATCCGAATACTCAAATCAAAAGGAGAGAACACTTGAAAAAATCCTGTTGGAGATTGATCAACTAGGGATCTGGCCATGACATTAGCGTGGGACTTGTGTATGGGATACAGAAATCTGGAGTGACTCAACAATATGAAACTAAATGATTGTTCATCTCGACTCCAGTCATGGCGATTGGTTGTGTGTCTACATGATGACACAGGATAAGGAAACAAATTTCATCATCCTCCGCATCATTTAAAGTTTCAAGGAAATACATCACGTGGAATCAAAACTTATAAAATACCGGCAAGAGAAAGTATATACTTGAAAGTTGGATTTGAACAAATAACTGCAAACGATACCAAAACTAGGAATACACAGTGCCATTTAGAAAGTGGTTAAATGTAACATATGTTGTATTTGGGATTAAACTTTCTCAGTAAAGTACAGATTCTAGTACTTTTGTTGGGTTCAGTCCTATCCGTGATGCGAACCCACACCACAAGAGTCAGGCACCTAATCGCCACCACACACAGTCAGCCGCCTAACCCACTCAGCCAGCGCTCTTCCACATATCAGGGCCTAGATTTTCGAAGATCTTTTAGCGCTAAGATAGTTGTAAGTTAATGTTAATGTTTGGCACTTACGACTATCTTAGAGCTAAGAGATTCGAGAATCAAGGCCCAGAACGTTACCACTTTGAAAACATAACATACAAGGTCCCAAAACACAACTATTACACCCGTATTAAATACATTAGCATCGGGGGCGGTGGGGTAGCCCAGTGGTGAAACCGTCCGCTCGTCACGCAGAAGACCCGGGTTCGATTCCCCACATGGGTACAATGTGTGAAGCCCATTTCTGGTGTTCCCCGCCGTGATATTGCTGGAATATTGCTAAGAGCGGCGTAAAACCATACTCACTCACTCACTGTTTTCCTGACAGTGAAATAGGAGGGCGGAAACCAGGTTGATTTAAGTCGTGGGTTTCTCATCAGTTTCTGGTAAATGCTAAATAGGATATAATGTAATATACTGTGAAACATGGCTACTCGTGATTCATTAAAACACATTAATATGCTCGTATTTCGAGACAAGCGGAGT